GTAGCTAAAAAAAATTAAAAATCGTTAGTCACAATTTTTTTTATAAGCGTTTAGTTCATAGCGTTTATATTTCAAATTTTTACAAAATCTGTAGAAAACGCGAAAATTTGCAAGTAATTTTAAAGTTGAAAAATCATAAAATTGTTTGTGTTTATAACTAAAGATTAAAAATACAACACTAAGTATTCCTTCAAGTAACTATAGAGAAAACTCGAAGCATCATTATACGAAAAATTTTAGGTGCGTTTGAATTTTAAATTTTTATGAAATAGCGTAACGATAACTATCCTGGAACAATTTTAAACATTTGTTATTATTCAAAAAGTATAAGTCGTAGATATTTGAAAATTTTACCAGTTATTTAGATTGGCATTTTATTTACATGATTTAATTTTCGAAATATTTTGACTTTTTTCGAGATATTTATAGACAACTAAAATTTTCAATTTTTCAGAAATTTTTTTTGAGTGTCGATAAAATTTGATTGGTTCAATCAAAATTCTTGAAAAATTAATACAAAGTTTCTCATAAGTTATTCTTATAGCGATTAAAAAATTATAAGAAAACATATGCACATTKTTTTTATTAGCATTTTAAGTTCAAATATTGACTTAATACGTAAAAATTACTGCAATTTTCAAATTATCTTAGATAGAAATTCATAAAAGTTTTTGTTTTTAATTCTAAGATTTGAGAATTTAATACAAGGCTCATAATATATTTTTACAATAGCAGTTGAAAAATAAAAGAAATATATAGCCACAATTTTTTTACATGCATTCAAAGTTTGAATTTTGACAACATACGTAAAAATCACGAAAATTATTTTATCCTAGAAATTCATCAAAAATTTTCCTTTTATATGTATCTAAGATTTGAAAATTTTTAATTATCTATAATATATCCTAGAAAGATGATACCTATCACATTGCATTCAAATTTAACCTACCTTAGTCAGAGGTCCACCCCATCCCCAATGTACAGCAGAGCGATACCCACTTACCCGCTTTTTTTTAAATTATTTTTTAGAAAAACTTATGTTAATCATAGATACCTACATTTAAGACAAATTGAATTGAATAATACATTTAAATTGCAATAAACAATTTCAAAGGTTTTAACTCTATTTTTTAACATCGTAGAATAAATCATTAGATAAATATTACACACAATTTTAATTTGAGTAACATCTATGTAAACTTTAAAAAATTTAAAGCATAGGTATCATATTTGCATCCGAAACATTCATTCTCATATCGACAAAATACAATCTTCAGAACTACACAAATTTTTTATACGATCTATTTTATTTTAAACTGGCTAAAATGTCTTATTTTAAAATGTTTAAGACTGTTTTAATTTCGAAAACTCTTGATGTTTAATAAATTAAGACAGTTAATACTTCAGTAACTAGATATTTTTTTAATAGTAACTTATAAAAATAATAATATTGAATTATATTTCCTTTTTTTTTTTTTTGTAAACATAGAAAAAAATCAATTTTCTCGTCAGGTATTTTTGGTGATTGAATGCAGTCTACTGAACAAGACAATTTCCTTTGGGAATTATCATTATGTATATATATTTATCTTTATGCATTTATTTTGTGAGTTTTGTGTCCATGGAAAATAAATTTTCAACATAGGTATTTTGTTACTTATGATCCCGTGGGTTCAACTCATTTTTCGGTTACTCCATTCATCCATATTTGATTTGGAAATATTATCAACACTTACTGTATTTTTCTTAGTACATTAACTCAGTGACACAAATTTATTATCACTGAATACGTAGGATATAAACCATTTTATCATCAAATAATATAACAACATATTATGTGAATAAAAACTATATTAAATTACATTGGAATCCATCAAAACTCATAACTCATAAGTTAATGTGTGTACCTAATTTATAAATAAAATTTACGAATCTTGAGTTAAGATTATACTAAACATTTGATGAAAACAAATATCATTGAAAACAAAATTAAAAGATAAATATATCAGTATTGATATGTATTATGTCAAATAGTAAATACATTATCAAAATTAATCAAGCATAGTAAAAACATAATTATACATAAAAATATAAATTTTATAAAATATATAACAATATAATATGTGTAGCTGCAGATTTAACAATAAAACTTCAGTGCTTTGTTATATGATGCTATTTTAAAATATATTCGTAATACCTAAGTACTTAACTTTAGACGACTTATGCAAAATATATGTTATTCATGTTATAATTCGGAATTCACTTAGTAAAATATATAGTGTGAGTTTATGAACAATATACATTGTATATAATTAATGTTTTATATTAACTTTACCCTTAATCTACTAACTACGACAAAACCATTGATGTAATACAATAATTTATAATTTTCAGCTTTGGTAAATTGTAGAATGTTATACACTAATAACATTTGTAAATATTCATAAGATTTTAATATTATCATAACCAACAGACTAAACATAGTATGTTTTTTATTGCTATAATTATTAATATCCACAACAGAATTGCGATCTAAGACAAAAATGGAC